TTTGAGTGCCTCTCTAGGTTTGGAAAGTTTTCTTGCAGGATCTCATGGAATAGATTATCAATGCCCTTATGAGTCTCTTCACCTTCCGGGATGCCTATTATCCAGATGTTTGGACGTTTGATGGTATCTAGTATTTCTCATATATTATTCTCAAATTTTGGGGCCATTTTCTCAGTCTTCATGGTGGATTTTTCTAGGCCAGCAATTTTCTCTTCTACATCTGAGATTCTATTTTCTGTATGATCTAGTCTGCTTTTAATACTTTCAAGGGAGATTTTGACTTCCTGTATTATAGACTTCATCTCTAACAGTTCCATCTGATTCTTTTGTAAAGTATGAAATTCCTCTTTTAGATCTTGCATGAATTTCCTCACCTCCTGGAACTCTTCAACTCCTTTCTCCTTCCTCTTCAGCAGTTCATTGTCTCTCTTCTCTTCCATCTCTGTTAGTTTTGCCATTATTATTGTTCTGAATTCTTTATCCGACATTTCCATGAATTCCCTTGAACTGTGTGTGGATGAAGATGAGTTATCCTTTTCCCTTGGAGGAGAGGTATTTTCCTGCTTTCCCATATTTCTTATGGTCCTGCAGTGATTTCTAGTCATCAGGTTGATGGTCTGTTTCTTCCCAAACTTGGAATTTCTATCTGGGCATTGAGGAACATGCAGAAAAGGAAACAGAAAGAGAGAAACAACAGCAACAACAGCAAAAAACAAACAAGAAACAGAAAAAGAGAAGAAAAAACGAAGATAAAAACTTTTCAATAAAACTAAAAAAATTCACATTTAAAAAAATTTCAATAAGAAACTAAAAATTGGAAAACCGTGCGGCGCGCAAGCACGTCGCGCAAAATTATAAACAGCAAAAATTTTTTAAAATGAGAGGAGACAGAGACAGAGACAGAGGTAGAGAGAGACAAAGACAGGTACAGAGACAGGAGGCTTGGAAGGGGTTTTCCTACTACGCGAGTTTTGTGTGTCGGAGGCCGAATTATCAGTGGGAAGTTTTGATTTCTGTTTCCCCAAAATGGCTAGTTTGCAGAATCCATGAGATTGGGTCTTCAAGAGGCTCTCCTATTGGGATTTTGGGCATGCACACATTCACATACCTGGTGTGATTTTCAAGCCGCCAGGCCTGTAACATGAACTACAGTTGGCCATGTGGGAGTCTAGTGCTCTAACCACCTCTCCAAATGCTGGTCCTGGCTCACAAATCTTTTAGACTGAAATAGTGTATTCATTCATACATGCCTCTTTATTATTCATATTTAATATATATTTGAAGCATATCCATTAATCAATAGCATTATACTATATTATGCAAAGGGTCTTCAAAATGTTCGTGGAAAATGCATATTATGAGCAAACTATACATGGATTGCAAATTTGTCTGCACCGAAATAAACTCACACATTAATTCCATTGTTCCATAAATTTTTTTGTATATTGCTAGGATTTGGTCACTGATATACTTCACTGCAGTTCAGGAATCCAGGAGATTTGATAAACTTGCTAAAATTCACATCCTTAAATTGACCTTTTGGCAGAATGACTGGAGCAGTTTGTGGAGATAGTTTTATATTCCTCAAAAATTGTTATTGAGGGGCCAGCAGGTGGTGTAGTTATGTTGCTGGCCTCTCATGTGATTGACTGTGGTTCAAGTTCTAGAGCTGGTAGCTTGAAAAATCACACCAGGTGTGTGTGCATGCATGCCCAAATCCCAGGAAGATAATGAAGGATAAGAGATTGCAGTGTGGCCTTCCCCCATGGGATTGGATTTCTCACTTTCCTTCTCACTGTCTCTGTCTCTCGATCTCTTTGGTAAGCACACATGCCCTAGAGCAAAAACCACTTTTAAAAAAAATCACTGTTGGGGGACCAGCAATTAGCGTAATGGCTATGTCACTGGACTCCCGTATAGTCGACCATGGTTCAAGTCCCAGACCTGGTGGCTTAAACTCATGCCAGGCACATGTGCGTGCATGCTCAAGGTCCCGAGAGGAGAATGAAGGAGAAGGTATTGTGGCATGGCCATCCCTCCAGGGAGTGATTTCTCGCTTTCTGTCTCTCTATCTCTCTGTGTGTTTCTGGCGAACGCACGCGCCCCATAGCAAAAACCTCTCAAAAAAAAAAAGAAAGAAAGAAAAAAGAAAAAAATCACTGTTGGGACCAGCAGTTGGCGTAACGGCTATGTCGCTGAACTCCAATGTAGTCGACTGCTGTTCAAGTCCCAGACCCAGTGGTGGTTTAAACTCACACCGGGCGCATGTGTGTGCATGCCCAAGATCTCGAGATGAGAATGGAGGAGAAGGGATTGCGGGAGAAGGGATTGCAGCGTGGCCATCTGCCCGGGGGGGGGGGTGATTTCTCTCTTTCTGTCTCTCTGTCTCTCTTTCTGGTGAGAACGCATGCCCTATAGCACAAACCTCTTCAAAAAAAAAAAAGCACTGTTGATAATCATTGCCTTTCAATAATGCCCAGATTACTTCACAAGGCATTCAAGCCCCTCTGGTACAGTCTCAACCAATCTCCCCTACCTCACTTCTTGCCACTGCCCCATCACTGCACTCTCCATGAGAATGCTGCGTTTCAGCTGCACAGAAGTGCTTATCATTCTCAAATACAGCCTTCCCCATTGGTGTGCTTTTGCTTAGGTTCTTCCTGCTGCCTGGAATGACCTTTACTCAACTTCCCTCCAGCATCCCGCAAGCACAAATTCTACTTCAACTCTTCTCACTTCCACAAATTCTTCCTGGATCTCCTGACTCAGTCAGAGATCATCATTCCCTTCTCACTGCTCCCTGAGAACTTTTTATACCTCTATGAGGGCATGGGTCACTCTGTTCTTCATCGTGCTAGAGGGAGAGTTCCTTGGAATAATGCTTGTGTCCTATGGATCCTTATACTTGCAGCAATCTATACAGTGCCTGGCACATAGCAGACACTCAGGAAATATTTGTCAAATGACTGAATGACAGTGAGAGCATGGATAAACAAGCTATGAGCTAAGCCTTAACTCACGGACTTCGTAGTCTGTTTTAATGAAGTGTTTTCACAAATGAGTAAGGTCTTCAAGTGGAAGATGGAAGAGGAGATATACCAAAAGTAGATGCTTGATTTTCAGGGCCATTTGAAAATCAAATGAGCTAGTACTTCAGAAATAAACTAATATGCAATTATAAAGTAATTGTCCTGTAAGTTATTTTTTATATATCTTACTTTTTTAAAAAACAGATTCATGATAGAGAGTATATGTGCACACATGAGACTGAAAGAGAGAGAAGCACCCTCAACAGGGTCTCGTCATCGTATGATCTTCCTTCCTAGCCCTCCAGCTCATTAGGATCTTGGGCACACATTTATGGGCCCTGTGTGTTTTCAAGCTAACTGTGGGATCTGAACCTGTGGCCTCCAGCATTACAATTTAGTTTGCTACTGACTGTCCCAACAGACTGGGCCTATACATTTTATGTGTGCTTGCTGGAGAGAGAGAGAGAGATGGATACAGTGAGAGGAAAAGTGAGAAATCTCTCCCCCTCGCCCCTGGGAGAATGGTCATACCACAATCCCTTCTCAATTCTCTTCCCAGGGTGTTGGGCATGCATGTACACATGCTGTACCTGAGTTTCAAGCCATTTGGCCTGGGACTTGAACCATGGTCAACCATGTAGGAGTCAAGCAATGTAACCACTATGCCAGCTGCTGGCCCCTCTATACATCTTCTTAAATAAGTATTTATTACTATTCTCTGAAACTTAGAAAGAGACTATGTGAGCTGCCATATTTAGAAAGATAAAGGGATGCTTCCTACTTAGTCATAACTAAGTTCACTGTTCCATTACCTCTCCAAATTAGGAAATGCAGAATCTGCAGCTTACTCTGCTCCCAAGAGAGCACAAGTGGAAACATAGCAGCAAATTGAACACCCATTCATATGTTGTGTTTGGATTTCAGGTGCTCAGACCTTGGTATGATGGATTCCTGGATGAAGAGGACTACTGGTTTCTCGTTTTTACAGTAGGAATTTTTGGGTTAGGGAGAAATCATGAAATTGAGGGGGGGGGAGAGGGAGTAATTGTTACAGTAAATCAAAAAAAAAAATTTGGAGAGTTTTTTGCTATAGGGCATGTGTGTTCACCAGAAAGAGAGAGAGAGAGACAGAGAGACAGAAAGCGAGAAATCACCCCCCAGGGCGGATGGCCATGCCACAGTCCCTTCTCCTCCATTCTCCTCTCAGGATCTTGGGCACACATGCACACGTGCCCGGCGTGAGTTTAAGCCACCGGGTCTGGGACTCGAACCTCAGTCGGCTACATGGGAGTCCAGCGACATAGCCATTATGCTAGCTGCTGGCCCCAGTAAATCAAATTTTGATGCTTCCTGGAGGCAATTGGGGATTGAAATAGTCCCTGATATTTTAAAGATAAACCTCTCAAGGAAAGACTCCAGGTGTAAGTTGACTTTGAAAAAGTCACCATCACATAGAATTTCTCCCTTACACATGGAGTTTGATCAGCTGAGGGAGAGGAGTGATGTGTAAAACAACAATGTTTCTTAACAAATTGAAAACAATCAGCATAAGTCCCTGTGACAGGGAAGCATGGAGGACTGAATTATTAGAAAACTCTCTTTCCTGGTCTGGGTCCTATAGCAAATACTGTCTGCCCTCCACCTCCTCCCCTTAGACTCAGACCAGATTCATCCGTGGCAAGAGGCATAAAACAGAAACTCTGAGCAAAGAAGACAACTTCCTTCTTTATAAGAGGATTCAGGAATCCCTGAAGTTAAGCCAAGCTTTAGCTAACATGGAAGAAATGGATTCTATGCAATGGCAAAAAATAGCTACTGAGGACCTGAGACAAGGTGGGTCTCTCCAGATAGAGCTGAAGTCTCCAGTGTTTTTGGCAGGTAAGAACAGTTACTAATTTTTTTTTGATGGTTATCTCTAGGTAACTGGAAATATTAATATGTAGTATTTAGCTAATATTTACTAAGCATCAGCACCGTGCAGTGCAAAGATGATCTCATTTTATCCTCAGATTAACCTAGGACGGAAATACTAAATAATGAGGCACAGGGAAAATGTGATTTTCCATAGGTCACACAGTAAGTGGCAGGGTCAGAATTTGAATGCAGATTGGCTACAGAGACTTCTGCTGGTGCTGAGGGAGCCAGAGCACTTAAGTCCAGTCTAATTCCTGCCCACAAGAGCAACTGCGGTTAATGCAAGTGTGTCATTTTATGCACCTGATAAGCATGTTTCCCCTCACTGCGCCTCCCCTGGGATCAGGTCCTAGATCATTTCTGAGAATGTAATTTTTTTGAGAGAGGTTTTTGCTATAGGGCGTGTGTGCTCGCCAGACAGACAGAGAGAGACAGAGAGACAGAAAGCGAGAAATCACCCCCCGGGGGGATGGCCACACCGCAATCCCTTCTCCATTCTCCTCTCGGGATCCTGGGCATGCATGCACACCCGCCTGGCGTGAGTTTTAAGCCACCAGGTCCGGGAAGCAAACCATGGTCGACTACATGGGAGTCTAGCAACATAGCCATTACACCAACTGTTGGTCTCTGAGAATGTATTTTTAACAGTGACCTGCCGTCATACAATTCGCCAGCCCACTCAGAGTGGAGTGAAACAGTAGTCTCTGAGAATGTATTTTTAACAGTGACCTGACGTCATACAATTCACCAGCCCACTCAGAGAGTGGAGTGAAACAGTGAGGAGCATAAAGCTCTGCTGTCCCAGAAAGCTGGGGTTATAGTTTGCTCTGGTTGTACAAGCTCTCTTTAAACCTAAGGATTTTCATCTGTATAATGGGAATAATAACAGACTTATTGTGAAGGTGACTCAAGATCACCTGTGAAAACTATTTGCACAATGGTTGGCAATAGAAAATGTCCAAATCAATGTTAGCCATGATTATTAAAATTGAGTCTTTTGCTTTAATGATCTAGTTTGAAGCCATTGGAGTACTATGGTATTTCTCAAACTTTCATCCACAATGAATACACTTGACTTTTTGAATCCTTAAACATATACCTGTATATATATGTATGTATGTTTGTTTGTCTGGGAAAGCATTTCACAAAGCAATACTTGCCCTTAGTATATAAGATGATGTACTCTAATGTTCTCTATGCTCTTCTGCTCCATGCTGAAAAGCTAACAATGACTCCATTTATTTTTTGACATACTAGTGAATTATGACCTACACTTTGAAAAACACCAAGGAGGAGTAAGCAAAACTTTTGAAAAGTCATTACACTTCTCACTGGTTCTGTGAACTTAAGCAAGTTACTTCTTCTCCCTGAACCTCATTACTCCTTCTCAAGATTGTTGAGAGGATTAGAGGTATTTACACAACAAGCAGGTGTTCAATAAATCTTACTTCATTACTCAAAAAAAGTAACACTCAACTTTTTCAAACTGTATGTGTTCTCTATGGACAAAACAAGATGCCAGGGATGCTTGTCCTTGGTGCCGTGCTGAAGCAGGAGTATTTAACTCTAGCATGAACAGACCTCTTTTTACCCTTAGAGATCCCACCTTCCCTCTAAACCCTGATCATTCCAGAACCTCTCCAAGGAATCATGTTGAAAGTGAAGAAAAGGATGGCTGATAAATTTTGCCACACATCCTGGCCGAGGGCATTACTTTGGTGGCTCCAGAGTGCCAAGGGTGGCCAGGGAAAGTGTGAGTCATCCTCCATGGAGACAGCCATCACTCCCCTCACATGTGTGGTTACTTCCTCTGCTACTGCTTTCTTGGAATACAAATCTAGCACAAAGGGCCTCCTTTGCATTTGCCTTACCTGGGGCCCTGACTCCCCAGATAAACTGACACTTCCACTCAGACTGTATAAAGTTACAGGACCACCAGAGCTAGAATAGTCTCATATTTCATATGGAGGAATTAAGTCTCAGAAAGGTGGAGAGACTTGCCTAAGCTTGCTCAGCAAGGGAAGAATTGATCCAGGAGCGAAAACTTGAGTCCATTGGGGGAAAAAAAATCCACTGCTCTTACCACTGTGGCCAGATTCCCCTGGTTGACAGAGGATGGTGAAGACAGTGATGATACTGACATAAAGACAACTGATGTTCATGATTCCATACTCCAGTATGTCTTCTAGGCTCCAACAATAGAGCCTCAGAGAGTATTGAACTACTTGGAGAGTTCCAGAACACTGCTCAATTGATTGTACTCCAAATCCCCAGAACTCTTGAAACAGTTGAGGCAAGGTGCTATTTTGCTTCTATAGCCAGAACTTCGTTAAAAATTCTTGTACCTTCTAAGTCTTATTGTTCCATTGCATTTTGGATACAAAAGAAGTATTCTTTCTCAATTCTCCATGTATAACTAGCAATGATGTATGACTATTTCTAGAAAAAGATAATCTACTTCCAAAGGGCAATGATTTGCAACTACAGTTGATATTCTGATATATTCACTGTTAATTGTGAAAGTAATTCCCAAATTCAGAACGAAAAAAAGAGAAAGCACAGCATAGTATGTTATGTTCATACTTTATCCTTAAACACATGAAATTCTTTTAGCAATATCAGTGTTTTAAGTATATTTACAGCTGGGACCAGCAGATGGCGTAATAGTTACATCACTGGATTCCCACATGACTGACTGCGGTTGGAGTCCCAAGACCCTTGGCTTGAAATTCACGCTGGGCACATGTGCATTTGTGCCCAAGATGAGAATGGAGAAGGGATTGTCGTGTGGTCATCCCCCCTGGGGAGTTTTCTCTACCTTTCTGTTATTCTGTCTTTCTCTGTCCCTCCAGTGAGCACACATGCACTATAGCAAAAATTTATCTAAATATATATATATATTTACAACTATTCCCCACACTAGATGGTTTCTTTGAATCAGGGTCAACACTCATTTGGATGAATTACTCCTATATGCCTTAAGAATTAATGACTCTTTCAATATCATATCTCTATTATTGTATTGGGTCATCGGAAAAGTCATGACGTGTTTTTCTGTTTTTCTATGCAAAAATACATTATGAATTTCCAATGACCCAATAGCATCCCTCACGCAGAAACTACCCATGGGTCAGGTTTCTCTAAGAAGAGCAGAATTCTCTCATTCTGGAGCAAAGGATGACTGTATTTCTTTGCTTCTTATTTTTTCTTAGGGAACTTGAAATTCTTTATGTAAACATTTTGTTAAAACACTTAAATAACAAATCATCCCACTTAAATATCATTTTAAGACAATATCTTCAACAAATGTATACAAATCTTTGAACTTAGAATGAACAACTCCTCTCTTGCTGTTTTTCCTTACTTCACAGACGTAAACAAAATGACCTTTGATGAACTCTGCTGTAAAAATCCAAAGATGGCCATAGAGAGGATCAGTGATGACTACAAAATATATTGTGAAAAAGCACCTCACACAGGCAAGTGTTTGAACTCAGGGATAGATCTGTGGCAACTAGGTTATCTCAAATGTAAGAGAGGATTTCTAAATCCAAGAGGCATAAATCACAAGAGGAACTATGCTTTATTTGAAATACAGATATGGTTGGAGGTGATGGCTTTGTCTTTTTTTCCTCCAACAAAGCTATAGAAAAAAGTTTTTTTTTCCCCATTCCTATCATAAGAACCAGAAACAATGTACATTTATGCGTGATGGACAACATACAGGTTTATCGTGCCCATTACCATGTTAACTTTCTTATTTCTGGTAGAAGAAGACTGTCTCAAGCTCATGCAGTTATTCTCTGATCTAGCTCTAGAACCAGCCTTCTCCCCAAGAGCTTGGTTGCTTTTCTCAGAGAATAGTGTTTAGAAGCCAAGTTCTAGGAAGAAATTTAACTCATTGTTATCAGGATGTCATTGCAATCAGGTCTTGGTGTACAAAGCTAGAGAACACATGTGTTTGTGTATGTACACACAGAGACACCTGTATGTATTTATATCTGTATGTATTTCTAGTTTTCTCTATATAGTGAAAACCAGGAGTACACACCAGTACCTCCAGTTCAATCCAATACCATTGAATCCAGTACCATTGATTCTAGGTTTTTCTTTTTCCATGTTTCTTTTTTTTTTTTTTTTTAAGAGAGATTTTTGCTATAGGGCACATGCACTTGCCAGAGAGACAGAAAGCGAGAAATCACCCCCCAGGGGGTATGGCCACACCACAATCCCTTCTCCTCTATTCTTTTCTCAGGATTTTGGGCACGCATGCACACAAGCATGAGAGGTTTTGCTATAAGGTGTGTATGCTTGCCAGAACGACAGAGACAGAGAGACAGAAAGCGAGAAATCACCCCCCAGGGGGTATGGCCACACCACAATCCCTTCTCCTCCATTCTTCTCTCTGGATCTTGAGCAAGCACGTACATGCACCCAGTGTGAGTTTAAGCCACCGGGTCCAGGACTCGAACCATGGGAGTCCAGTGACAAAGTCATTATGCCAAGTGCTGGTCCCAATCATCTTTTTTTCTATCTCTCAATTTTTAGTCCTTTCCTCTTTCTCAAAGGTATGGTAATTTAGTCCTTTTTTTCTAATTTACATATTTTTTGAAATATATATAAATCGAATCATCTAATATATATTCTTTGGTTTCCACAATTACTTACTATGTAACCATCACCACAATTTTTTTCCTTATTTCCCCCCTTTTGGAGTCCCTTGAGTTTAAATTTTAATATGATAAATATATTATCTGTATGTATACGTGGAAAATATAAAAATACATTATCTGTATGTATACCTGCAAAATATAAAAAGAGTAAGATTTTTCTCATTCTCTAAGATGAATTTTAAATCTGTTGGGACAATATCATCCTCAATGAGAAAGCACGCTGTAGAGTATTTCAATATGTGAACATACCATGTTGTTTTAATCCATTCAAAGTTGATGGACCTTTAAGTCTTCTCTAGTTTTTGATGATTCTATATAGAATGCTCTTGTGAGTATGTTTGTATGACTATTTGATGCACGAATTAGCATGTTTCTGTTGAATTTATATCTAGAATTTGTGGGTAGTAGGATATACATTATATCAATTTTAAGAAATAATCCCAGTACTTTTGCTGTTTGTACAAATTTAGGTCACCATCAAGAGTGTATGAATATTCTAACTGCTCAACAACTGAGCCAATATTTGATGTGCCAGATTTTTATTTTCTGCTGTTTTTATGGGTGTGTAGTGGTGTCTTGTTTGTTATTTTACTGTGCATTTCTTTATTTACTAACAATGTTAAGTGCCTTTCATTTGTTTAATATTCAGTTGGGACCAACGGATAGCGTAATATTCTATTTCTGAATTCGATAAGTTTGTGGTCTATGTTTTCTCCTACAAGATTATCGCAAAGAACTCTTATAGTACTAAAACCTATTCAGTCTATCAGTCTTAAATAATTATGTTTTAATGTAATTTGGGGAATAATGGTTTCTAAATGGCAACAGGGAATAAGCTATCTACTCTAAATTGTATATGGTATGCTAGATATATTATTTCAGAAGCTTTAAGAGGAAGCAGAGTCCTTGGAAAAGAAAATGGTTTTAGTCAAAACTAGGAGGAAGGAGCCTTCTTGGTGTTGACAACTGTAACAAGCAAGAGAGATAAGATGAACTTATTCCCAGCAGTCTCTCCAAGGAAGGTGGGCTTTTTGGTCTAGTAACCATGTACTTACATAACATTGCCTAGACTGATGGTAGTGTCAGGGGTGTATATCATCCTTAATTTCTGTTTCCACTCTAATGGCCTAAGAGGGCAGTGATGGGGACAGTCTGATAAATGCCCTTGCTACTTTGCCTTTGTCCCATCTGCAGTGTTTCTTGTAACATGTCCTCCCCCAACTTCATTATTTTCCTTAGATATTCCAGTGGAAATTATCAGGGAACCAAGGGCAGTTGCACCTTCATACAGGAAAGCATCCTTATACAGAAGATTTGTTACAAGAAAGCCTTCTATGAGACCCAGGTGAGCTATCGACCCTGGTTCCAACATCTTCAGGCGCAAGCTTTCTTTAATCTCTACATGTGTGATGTTCAACTTCTTGTATGTAGATTTCTAGATCTTTTTCCATGTATCATAAAAGTATGCATAGGCACACTTTGTATTCTAAAGCATTGTGTATTTTCTAATAATGTAAGTATTGTGTCATTCAATATATATCATATAATAACTTTTTAAATGATCCGTGAACATCTTTTCATGCCAATATGTGTACATCTACCTCCTTTCATAGTATGGAAGAGGCATGATTTATTTAATGATATTCATTTTTATAGACATTCACATTATTTTTAATTTTTCATTGCTATAAAGAGCACCACACCATTCATCTTTGTACATTATCCTTGCCTAGTATGTTTTTCTGGACAATCTACTACAGTAATAACTGGTTTTTAACAGGTTCTTTACTTCATGTCTCTCTCCCTTACAATCAATCTGAGAGTCAGACTCTGGTAAGGTTACCCTGCTAAGCAAAAACCCTATAGCCTTTTATTTTCAGGAGTTTCCACTTACCTTTCTTTCCATTTACCTCAG